ACAGAGGGAGATGCTTTTAGATAATCTGCCTTGGCATGCCATAGCCTGTCATACCCGACTGTGATGCTCCTTTGTTGCTTCCCATCTGAAGGCCTATTACGTTCTGTCCCTGACGAAGCTGCTCTTCTGAAAATCCTCGTCGATTCTGCTGTGCTTTCCTGTCCAGATACAGACAAAAAAAGCAACATACACACATACCATCATTCTCCATATGCCCAGAGGATCATGAAAAGCAATCTGAAATTGGCTCATGTTAACAGACGTATCCCATGTAATGCAGTATTTAATTTATACTTTCCTATGGGCTGGACAATACTAGCTGGGTTAATTGCTTTCCTGCAGTTAGATGTAATGCACTGGTCAAACCAACAACACTTCAGACTTTCAGTGTGCCACTTACACCAGAACCTCAGCAACTATGATGGGTGAAATACTGAAGTAGTGCTGTATATAACACACATAATAGGGTTTATTTGTGTTAAGCCCTATAGCTGTCAACAGATGTAATCCATGGGATCTGGACAATTAGACACTTACCTGTGCTGTAATACAAGTTAATACCCACCTAGAGCAACAGTACAAATTGGTATAATTTAACACAGCGGAGTAAATAAGAGCTGGATGGAGATACAGTGGGACAGAGAAGTGACTTGATCGTTCTCGCAGAGTAGATGAGTGTTGCCCTCAGGACAGAACAGTTGCTCTGATTACATTTCCAGACCTCTCTCTCCTAAGCAATAGACTCTGTCCTTTGCACCTGTGACTTAACTGTGTGACAGTCCTTAATCTTCTGTCAAAACACACTGTCTGCTTTTGTTTGGTGTCCCTGGCCTCAAGAGCCCTTTGGATCAATAAGCCTTTGTTGGATTTAAAAGGAGCCTCTTTTCCCTGAAAATCCATTAGTTTATGTAGGGAAGTGTCCATGACTCCTTTCAGTAATAGAACCCATAAAACAACTAAAAATAAAACTATGGCATTTTACAAAATCTAAGCAATAACTAACACCTACTTGCTGGTATAAATTTGCAAAATTGTCCTTCCGTTCTTTTAAAATAAAATCCCACTGTTAACTTCTACTTTAAACCCAGCAAAGAGACTTTCAAACTGTTGATCTCAGAATATTGGTTTTTATCTTTATCTTTGGAATTTTATGCTTGGTACATCTCACCCACAATCATTTTGCAGAGGCAAATCATAGCGATGGTTTTCTGGGTACCATTCCTGAGCACAGTGAAGCCAGATAAAATTTTCCAATTGGTAAGATAAATACTAAAGAAGTCATAAAATTAATGGCTCTTTTTTCTTTTTCTTTTTCTTTTTTTTTTTTTTTTGGTGAAGTCAAGTGTTTCTTGAAGGGTAAATCGTTAGTCAAGTTCCTAGTTGGAAGACAGTTTACATGGGGTAGCTTATTGGCATCTTAGGTGTTACTAACCCTTTTCTTAATTTGTCTCCTTTTTATTCTTTCCTTTATCCTGCTTTCCTCCCTCTGAGCATTTGGACACTAGGTTTACAAGGAGTAATGCACCCAGAATTGCTGTACTGATAGAAGTGCTTACTGCATGTATAGTGTCTCTGGTTGCCATACTCCCGCTCCACAATCCCAACCTACATCACTCCTGCCCTCTCCCTGAAAGTGTTTAAGGCCAGGTTGGATGACACTCTTTGCATCCTGGTCTAATGGGATGTTTCCCTGTTCATAGCAGGGAGGTTGGAACCTGATGATCTTCAAGGTCCCTTCCAGCCTTAACCATTCTATGACTCTATGATTCTACTGTTTTGGGGAATGTAGTCAACACTTCATGGAACAGAAAATAACCTTGCCCTTAACCCAGCACCCTGAAAACTGTCTCTGAATAATACTGGAAGCCTCAGATTCTGTCACCAACCTCCAGTCTATTTTAGGCACCTGTTTTCTTGCCAAAATGTTTGGGGACTTGGTGCTGAAATACTTTGGAGGATTTGAATAAAACTGCTTACTATAATGAAAAGATAAGATCAGCAAGTGTGCCATCAAGAAACATTTGAAATTAATTCTTTTCCCTTTTTGATTTCTAGAAAATATATTTTTGCTTTTAAAAATGCAAAACTGTCCATCTTGCATTTTAAAGCAAAATGAAACCAGCAACAAAGACTGCTGCATTTAATTATTTGTTTTACATATCAAAAGTATTACCTACAATGGATGTATACTATTAAAGAAGAGAAGAAACTGTGATGGGTTTTTCTTCAGGATTAGTGGTGTCCCTTTAATGAGGCTTTTTTCTTTATCAGGCATTTGTCATATGTATACACATGGTAGGATTAAGCTAAACTGAGAAACAGCAGCTTTATTAATTTAACAGGTTTTCTTGTTTACTGGGGTTTAGTGGGTTTTTTTGCAATCTTCAGTAGAATTAACTTGTTGCTTGGTTGTTCTCTGCCCTGATGCCCTTCTTGTGAAATGAGGAAATTTTGTGGTGTCTTGGAGCTCTGGGTACACACAACCATGTCACAAAGTCAAGTCAAGCTTCCCACTCCATGTTTTTCGGGAGTCTTTCTATGAAGACCTTGGGCCCCTGAGCACTTCCTTGATGATATCATCAAAATCCTGCATTAGAAGAGGTTCACTGATGTCTGAGTTTGTTTGGTTATCTGGCCATTAGAGGTGTGCAGCATAGCGGGGTGTGGTCTGTGGAGGCTTGCAGGTCTGGCTGAGTTTGTCTCCAAAACTGAACACTGTTTTGTACTGAAGACTCAACTGCCAGCATGCACATGAAGATAGTTTCTCTCCAGTAACATTTCATACAGCTAAAGGGATTGGTACTGGAATATGATTTGGGGTCTGGAGAACAGATCTTATGAGGAGAGGCCAAGGGAGCTGGGGCTGTTCAGCCTGGAGAAGAGGAGGCTGAGGGGAGACCTCATTTCGCTCCACAGCTGCCTGAAAGGAGGTTGTAGGGAGGTGGGTGTTGGCCTCTTCTCCCTAGTGACCTACAACAGGACAAGAGGAAATGGGGTCAAACTGCACCAGGGGTGGTTCAGATTGGATATTAGGAAAAATTTATTCACAGAAAGAGTGGTGAGGCACTGGAACAGGCTGCCCAGGGAGGTGGTGGAGGCACTGTCCCTGGAGGTGTTAAAAAAATGAATAGATGTGGTGTTTCAGAAGATGGTTTAGTGGTCGGAGGCAGTGGTTAGACTTGATGATCTTGAAGGTCTTTTCCAACCTTGATGATTCTATGATTTTATGAATACTGAGGGATAAAGTGGCAGTTCAGAAGCACAAAAGTTCATACTCTGCTGCTTTGAGAGAGACTCTTAATTTGGAATTAATCTTTCATTTATACAAGGCAGGGAAAACAAGTGGTTTACCAAGGAGAAGGATCAGTCTGTTGCTACCAAATAAACCATATGAATCAGAAGAGCCTCAGACTGAAGGTGGCTTTGGATTAACCTGACTCTACTCCCACCCAGGTACAATCTTTCTCCCTGCTGTGTCTCCTTGTCCTGGGATCAGGTTACCCTGCAACATGGCATCACGTTACAATTCCCCTTTTCTCCCCACACACTAGATGAGAATGCTAGATTTGGTGCCTGCTGTGATTGAAAGCCATCAGCATGATCCTCTCTGTGAGGGTCTGATCCTGTACTGTGCTGAGCACCCTGGCTCAAGTCCAAAAATGCACTTAAACTCTTTGCTAGGCTCTGGGCATTCAGAACATTGCAGGGAAAGAACTCAAGTCACCATGAAAGCCTGGGAAAGCTGAAAAGTAGGAAGAATTCACAGGAAGCCAGTTCTGACCTGTAATTTTTCAGAATGGGTCTCCAGTGTTAAAGTACGGACTAGTAAGATGGCTTATAGAAGCCCACCACAGGCTCTCAGGTCCTGCAGCTCCTGCCAGAAAGCGTGCCATTTTGGATGAAGACATGGAGAATGGTGGGTGCCTTGGAAAGCAACCCCCTCTCACTGCTGCTTAATTGCTCTTCCAGAATGCTTACACAAGCACCAAACTACTGCCAGAAGTTTCACAAGAGGATGTTTTTAGAACTACTCCTATTACCTAATTGAATCTGAGGCTCACTGTGTCTGGCTTTATTTTAATTAAAATCCCAGGAACACATTCTATTCATTTTTTCTCTTTCTTCCTAGAATTTTCAGCTGTGTTGGGGAGTGTTTCCACAGAAAGTTGAAAATTAACAACGAACAGAAAAAAAAATAATGAGAGCTGCAAAGAAAAAATAAAAAGAGAGACTACAGGGAAGACTGGATATACTAATAAAAGCTGAGTACATATGCAATTTGCATGATGGTGTTATTTTTGCCATCATAAGCACCACATTTAGTATATGACGGTCTTACAGATGACAATATATATTTGCATTTCACTTTTAGGTTGATGGAAATTTCACTTTTAGGTTGGTGGAAATGGCCTTAACTGAGACTGTAGAAAAAGAGGTGAGAGCAAGTCTATTTCCCTCAGTGTCTCACATTATGTCAAGTTCTGTTTGGCCTATCTGCCATCACCTGGCATCACCCTTACAGCAAACTGAGCCCAACAGATCTGTTACATTCTTGTGCCAACTGTGCGTTAGTGCTTGTGGTTGCCAAATCACAGGAGAACAAAGAGCCATGGATCCATGAACCTTGCTGGGCATGCAAGGAATAGGGAATCACGCCTTGTGGGGCTGGGTATGTGAGACACTGGCAATAGAAAGTTAAATGGCTTAGCTCCAGAGTAGGGATATCTATATTACTAGATCCCTGCATGGATACTTAGTCCATTATAACTTCACTACTTTCAATTTAACTTCAGATGATTAAGAATCAGACTGAAAGCCCTGACTCGTGACTAACACTAGGTGACATTGAGGGGGCTTGATCTGTAATATATTCTTTCCTTCTAGAAATAACACTAGTTTTCCTTAAGGCAGTGGCTATAAAACAGTATTTCATGGGCTGCAATAGATACGGATTGGCTATCCAAGCAGTACAGACAGAACAGACAGCTAGTGGAGGAGGGAGGTAATCACATCTTCATTTATGCCAATGAAAACTGTTCCCGACCACAATTAAGAGTCCAGATGAAAATTAATTTTTCCACATAAGACTTTGTTTTAGTTACATAAAACAAATAAGCCTGTCTGGGTCATAGTGATTTCATGTCTGGTTTATATTAAAGTATGTAACTCAGTTTGAACCCAATTTTAAACCCAATTATATTCCATAAATACAAGTCTATTTGTGCACTGTATTAAGTTAATTTAAACTAATTTCATATAAAGAATGCATAGGAGTTTGCATTTATTCACCTACAATTCAAGTCTCCCTTAGCTAGAGCTAAACCAGTTCAAAGTTTAAGACAAACCAAGTGAAGTTTGCTTTACTTCTGCTGAGCCTCACCTAGGCATCAAAAAAATTCAGGGAAACCAAGGACTCTTTTTGCTAACACACATCAGACATTTCAGCCTAGGGAATACTCTTAGATGACGGAATTTCATGTCAATAATATGCCTTTGGGGCAGGAGGGCTAACTGTGGGAGGATTTCCTTTTCTTCCTATCCCTGCTTCTCAGATTCTGTAGCCAAAACAAATGGAGTTTGAGAGCAAATAGACAACTTGCCAAGACATAGAATTCTTCGCAGATAAGTGGTACTCCCCAAGAAAAGAGATTACTAGGAAGTGAAATAATTTTTGCTTTGATGAAAAATGGAAAGAGACTTCTTGCCTTCTTTGCTCAGTAAAGGGATCACTATATGGGGGTTTGCAGACATCCATGACAGCTTTGTCTTCATTAGTCTTTCTGTCTGCTATCTGATAGGAGGCAAAAGTATATTTTTTCCTGCCTGCTACTCTTAGGACACCCATATCTGCATGGCTGCTGACATTTTTGTTCCCTTTTCTTTATAAATGGATATAGAGGATTAGCTGAAGCTGCTGAATAGATAAATGTCACCAAAACCAGTGGCTGAATTTCCTAAGAATCATTGTTCTCCTTCTAAGGAATAATAATAAGGGATAATGTCAATGGACAAGATTGTCTTTTCTTCAGTGATCAGTGTGGGCCCCTCACACAGCAAGATTATATGCTATGAGGGTACCTGGAGCAGGATGCTGCACTCCTTCCTGTGTGCACTAACAAAAGCCAGACAGCCACTGGGGTCCCCATGCATGTACACATCCACACATCTACACCAACACAGCCTGTGACAGCCTTGTTCAAAAGGGGCACCTCTGGGATTAAAACAGGGCTGTAGCCACAGGCAATGCACTCTTTAGTCCTGGTACCAGTACTGCTGGCCCAGCTCAGGGGCACAAGGGACACATAAGGTGGTGTGACAGGGCTACATGAGAAAAGGCTTCACTATACATCTCCCACAGGCTCTTTCCCAGCATCCCTGATGTAAATTTAGGCTGACAAGATAGGGTGAAATGCAGGTCTAGCAGTGATACTGATATACTCAGGAATCAGTGAAGCGTAGAAAATGCTGTTGCCTGGTTAGGTCTTTGATAACCTCTTCTAGACACCAAAGAGAAAATCTCTCCATCACAAGGACACTTTGGAAAGATTATTTCCTTCCTTTCCAAATAAATTTACTTAAAGCTTAAAGGCAGACAATATCACCAGCTTCCCAGCGAAGACAATTCTGAGCACCTGTGCTTTGGACTTTACCTGTGAAACCAGGACGGATCCCCTTTGTAGCAGCCATCATCCTTGGTGACTGCCAAACTGCCTAGAGCCATTAAGGTTCTTTGCACTGCTGCCATATCCTTCCCTAGAAAGACAGACAGGGAAATTAATACAAGAAATCTTTGCACAAAAAATAGCTCGGCACACCGATAAACAGTCTTAAACAATCTAACTCAGCTTCCCTGAAAAAGTGCATTTATAGCATTATAAATGCTGTTTTACCCTTGCTGAAATAGAGGTACTGACATGAAAGAGCCTATTCAAAGTCATCAGAGGGACAGCATTAAAGTGATGCGTAACAATTCAGACATTTCCAGGTTTACAGGCCTCTGGCTATTTTAATGTCTTCCCCCATAGTATTTGAAGTCCTTCTAGATAATCCTTTTGGCAAAATTTTCTCCTAAGAAGAGATCAATTTAGCATACAAAGAATGGTAATACACTCAGTAAAGCTGAAGGAGAACAGTGTGTTAAGTAGCAGTGCTGTGTCTCAGTTTCTTCACCTGAAAACTGGTAAGACTGATACCACCATTTAACTCCTGGCAATTCCCAGCAGGCCCTGTGCTAACAGAGCTCACAGCAGTCCTGGAGAGGTCCTGTGTAGGCAACTCATAGCAGTCCTTCCCAATTTAACCATCAAATCACCTCGCAAATCCCTCCTGCTGGCTTCCTTTCTCAGGAAAGGAACAATGCTCTGCAGATTCATACCTTTAGGTTCAGCCATGGAGTCCACTATTCTTCTACTTCCTCTCTATGTTACCTCACTTCATGCCTCATTTCAAAAAGTCAAGGCTCATCTCATCTAAGCCAAGCAAAAGTTACATATCTGGTCCTTCCTAGTTCTTTAGGTTCCCTCCATAAAAAACAGTGAGAAAAAGCTGCTCAGGAGATAACTTCTCCCATCTGTATTGAGAAGGGTGAAATTGCCTGTCACTTGCTTAGAGGCACAGCTTCCACCTAGCTGAAAATTCACCAGGTTTCCAAGAGGGCACCTTACACATTTGAAATATAAGGCTTTTTTTCAATAGACATTTGCATTTAAAAAGTTGTATCCTCTCCTCCCATCTCTTCTTCCAAAATAAGTATAGTAAATATATTTTCCTTTTTGGTCAACAACTTTTGCTGATTCCTCCAGTGAAGTAAAAAAAATAAAATAACAAAAAACCAAACCAAACCAAACAAACAAACAAAACCACAAAAAACCCCAACAAAACCAACCAAACAACAAAAAACATTATCACAAACAAAAACCCCAAACAATGGACAGATGGATTTTTTTTATATATATTAAGATTGATCCATTTTTTCTTCGGTCTTTCCCTGGACTTTGTCACTTGGTAAAAAGGACAGGGAACATTGAGACATCAGAGTCAGACAGACTCTAGCTTATTACCCAATCCAGACACTTCAACATTTGGGAAACTTTCTAGTAAAAATGAGTTGCAGCACATATTTCCAATTATGTGAGGTGATAAGTTGTTGGAATTCTGCCTGTTGCCTCTCCCTTCTTCTGAAATCCTTCCAATAGTGACTCCCCTCCCTTCTTGCCGTTCCACTTCTTCCTCTTTCCTAAAATAATTTATCTACCTAACAAATCTGATTTTGACTGCAAGTTCTTCACATGAGATAATAAGTAATTCATAGAAACATGAGATACTAGAGACATGTTGATAACAGATTTCAGAAATATCTCTGGTGGACGAATATTAATGAAGATCACTGTAGACCAGCTGGCACGTAGAAGGAAGGGAGAGTTGCACATTCTGTGTTTGTGTTATGTATCACCCTGATTATAAACAGATGCAGTTCCAGGGCTTTGGTTCATACAAACCTAAATGCATAACATCCTGGCTGAGGTGAGGAAGACACCCAAAAGCTGAAAACATCTAGCAGCTTCCAACTGTGGCTGTTACGCAGCCCATTAAAATTTATAGCACTCCTATCTGCAGGGGACTGTTTGCTCAGAAAAGAAATTGTCAGCCATCCAGAATCCTCATTTTACTGTATTTGTTAAGGCAAACTGCATCAGACGGGGTCCTTGCTTTAGAGGGCAGCTGAAGAGCTGACATCCCCCGTGCATGCATACTCAGGTCACACGGAAGAGTGCAAGGCAGAAACACTCAGAGCTCCCCGAAGCAGCAGATGCACCATATGCTGTAACAGATGCCATGTACAATGTCCTTGGGCTGCCTCCCATATAACAAGGGGTGCAGTGACTGACTGGGATGAGGAGGGATGTGATGAAGGATTAAAAGTGAATGAGCTGAATAACAGCAGCAAGCACAGAAAAAAAACCCCAACAAAACAAAACAAAAGAGGGTAGCAAATATGATGATGGGCCTCACAGAGCCATCTGGCAGCCCCCCCACACTCTGCCCTCAGCTCTGCTTTATTTGTCAGTGGAGAGTAGGAGATGCTGCGGGGGAAAAACAGACTGAGTGGGAGCCAAGTGCTATTTGACAAAACAAGGCCACAGCCACAGCCCGGCTTCGCAGGGCTCCTTGCTGCACACAAGGGGTGCTGCAGGTGAGGGAAAACTCCAGATCCTCATGGTCTTGTGACATTTGCTCTCTTCCAGCAAAGGATACAAGGTGCTCAGCAGAAAAATGGCTGTGAAAAATTTTACACAACCACTGAGAAAGTGGCCTGACACTGCAGCCACCTGCCAGAAGGAATGACACTAATTTCTGTGAAGCCAGGCTTGACTCTGGCATTGCAGAAAATTGCGGTCAGTGCTTTCCCGCAACTCCAGCACTCGCTCATTGACAGGCACATGGGCTGCCTGCCCAGCCCCCAGCCTTGGCTTCCCTGAATCATGCTGCAGGGACCCACGCTGACAGCAGTTCTTTTGCATCTTCTGTGTCCTGTGCAGCATGCTTTGAATTGCACAGCCTTGTAGAGGATCTTGGCACTGCCTGTACAAGGAGGAAGGGGCTTCTGGTAACTTCTTATGTTAAGCTTTTCTCTCTGGGGGAAACCTGGCTGGAAGGCCTTCTTCTGCAGGTCCAGAAAGGGCAAGGTTCAAACCCAAAAATGGAGAACTGCTCTGCATGGTATTCCTGAAACGTTTTTTTGTAAAGGCTGAAGAAGTACAGCTGTCTCTTGCCTGCCAGGAAGTATACCAGGGAGGTATCTGTAAAAAACAGTGCATGTAGTATCTTCAGCATGGATTAGTGAAAGCTGCTCAGCACAAAACGTTTGTGTGAGAAAGTACCAAGAGAGAGGTAATGCTTCAACTGGACCAGGAAGTTGCAGAGAAGAAGTTACATGTACCAGATGGAGTGAGTGAATTTGAAACTGCCAACAGCAGATTGTGTCCTAAAACATTTTCACTAATCACTAGTAAGAATTTCAAAGCAATAGCTCTCGGAAAACAATTAGTGCCAGAGAAAAGCTGTTGTTTAGTCACACATGTATTTTTTCCCCTATAAACATACACGGACACCTCCTCACTTTCTAAAGAGGTTGTGGCATGAAGTATAGGAGTGCTGTGATGTCCAGTTTTGAGCCAGGAGGAAGCCACTTTTCCTTTTTTTTTTTTTTTTTTTTTTTTCATTAGTGTTTCATTAAAGCTGTGTAGTTTAGTTTTCAATCCAGAGAGTCTCTCTCCCATTCTCTCTCTCCTTCCCTACCTAAGTGGTTGGGGAGGGGATTGAGAGCATTGTTGTCAATCCTGAGTCAAACCGTGGCATGTGATTATGAAATATTGAAAAAGAGGCTGTCCTTTCTGTCCAGCTAATGTATCCAGGTTCAGACAATTCTGCCCTGAAGCAGCACAGATGCTAAAGGTCAGATTTAAGGTTAGACACAAAAAGCTTGCAGTGACTCACTACTGGAAAGACATACTGTTTCAGCTCAGCACTGAAATGAGCTGCAGGAGAGATTAAAAGAGAGTGAGAAAATGAGGAGAGACAGATTAGTTTTGGGAAGTCCTCAAATGACAGTGGAAAAAAGTCTTGCATGTCTCCCTCCTAGGTTGTGAGCTGTGTTTTGACTTTCTGTCCTCTGGAAGTTAGTAGCTTTTTTCCTTACATCTGTTCAGAAAAGGTGATGAGTGAAAGGAAGAGAAATGAGGGGAGAACCATCATCATTAGGAGCTTTTTGTCTTTAAAGCAAGTCCTTTTCATGGTAAAGATCAATGTACTGTACTTCAGTTTGCGTGGTGTGAAACCATTACGAGATGCAAAAGACTGCAAAGAACAGCATTCAAAATGAGTTATTGTCATCCTTTACAAGATAGATGGAGCTTCTCTTTCAGCAGCCTGCTAGGCTGAGGGAGGGGGGGACGGACACAGTTTTATTCTAGGGAAGTGAAAATCCCTTAATTTAAGGCATTTAAGGTAGATTGGATTAAATACTAAAGACTGAACTGGAAGTAACAATCCTGCCCTTGTGCCCAAAGGTAGGATTTCTCAAGCAAATCTGGCACTCTGAGAACATTACAGATCTCAGTAACTCCAAATGTCAGAATATCCTCCCCTTCTAACCCAGTCACAAAGAGCTTCCTCCTCTTTCATTCCTCAAATTGTCCTTCAGAGGAGACCTTCCACTTATCCCATCAGCCTGTGAAAAGAGACCCCACTTTTTTCACTCCATATATGCTCCTACACAAAAAAATCAATGGATTGTTTTCCTCTCTCCACTGTTTCATTCTCATTGGCAGATTTCTCACCCTTTCACTGCCCTGCAGCTGTCCTTGCTTTGACCCCTGACACAATGCATTTTGCATCACCTTGTCCAGAGAGATGCAGGATATACAGTGTATTTGGTTAGAGCACCAGCAAGAGATGCATCACCAAAGAAATGGGCTAAACCAGCCATATGGATGCGCAAATGACTTAGCTCCTCAGGAACCAGAACGTGTAGTTTCCACTTCGAGCATGGGATGGAGATAACCTTCACCTGGGTTACTGCAAAACAACAGGGGCACTTTGAATTTTTTTGCTGTTGCCATAGTGACCTCTCTAAAAAGGCTGTATCCTCAGAGGGACATGCTCAGCTAACATGGTGTTACCAGTGAGTTTTGCTTCTTCCTAGTCATAAATGAGCCCTCATAAATTCCACAGAAGCATGTATGCTTCTGGGAACACATTTTATGGCTCTAATTTAAGCTTTGCTTATAATTTGAAAACTGCAATAAAATCTTGTTAGCAGGGAAAAAAAAAGGGGGTTTTCCATAATTGCTGTTATAAACTATTTACTAGGAAATAATTAGTATAGAGAACATTTGTTTAATTAGGTCTGTGGATTTCTATCAGAATGATGGGCTTTTGGATAACACGAGTTTGGAAAGGTTCCGTTATGCCCTCAGGGCAATGTAAGTCCCCCAGAGGAGATAATGCAGCACCGGAAGAACATGGTAATGAGGTAAGGCAAACAGAAATAAGACATAATTATATTAGAGATTGTGCCTTAGACAAAATGCATCATTACAACACATCAAAGCAAAGTAAAATGGAGACAGCAAACTGGCTTCCAGTTTATTATTTTTACCTTCCCATAAATCCACTGTCTGGAAAATATCTGTTGTTCTTACTCCGTAGATTTCAGCAGCTTTTAAGAACTGAGAAATTTGCTCCATCTGCTTGAAAGCCATTTTTGATTCAGAGATCTTTGCAATGGGCTCATTTCCCTTAGGATGTAAACTGTTTATTAACTTGCATAACAGCTGAGAGATAAATACAGAAACAAAATTAGAAAGCAGTCACCAAACTAGAAGGCAATTTCTGCACATGAAATGATGCTGCAAAATGCTTTTGACCCAGCCAGTTTCTGTCAGGGACATGATTTCTTCCATTAAAAACAAAGAAGTGAATTTATAATAATAAAAGTATATTAGAAATGCATTCAATCTTTCATTAACTGATGGCAATAGCCTGACAATATTAATCTTAATCTGCTAGAAACAACAAAGCAATCACTGGTAAAGGTTATATAACAACTGACACAGAAGAAACCACATGCCCAAGCTAAAAAAAAAAAAAAAAGAAAAAAGCAATGTCAATTTAAGTATTGTTAAAGTCACTTTGGCAGAGATTCAGCAATTAGCATATTCTTACAGCCCACTGCAAACAGCAGCATCTGTTTGTTGTTCATTGGAATACGTGTTAGCTGCAGAATCATTCCCAAGAAGAAAACAGTTATGACATAATCCAATCCTTCAGATTTTCTATATCTCTTCATCTTTCCCTGTCAACACTGATGATTTTATAAAGAGAAAAGTATACATCCTATTTTAAAGCAATCTCATTTAACTGTATGCGAAAAGATGCTGAAGGAATGAGTCATACTCATGTATAACATATATGACTCATAAGAATTATAAGTACAGTGCTAATTCCAGTGCCCTAGCAGAATATTATCTTCTGACATTAAGATTTCTGGTCAAAAAGAAAAAAAATCAGATGTTAAAATAGATATTTATACACTGGCTATGAGATTTTATCAATTTAGCTAGATGAAGACAGAAAATAAGGACACTGTGCATATAAACTCATGCAAGTATATACCTGAACATAACACTTACCGTTCCGTCCATCAACCAGGTCTGAAAATGTTGCCTTCCAGGAGGAGGGTGCTCTATCTGTTCTCCACACTGTACAATAATCCAGTTCACCAGCCTAGACTCTAATTCCGGGTCATATTTCTGTTCAATCTTTTCCTGAACTTCTCGGCTTAAGCCATAGCTTGGTCCTCTGTTAGCCATCTCTGGAATCAAAGCAGAACTTACTTAGTGGGTAGGGTCCTGATCTGCAGCTTTTAAGCACAGACCAGAAAATTAAAGAATAAAAGAGTGAGCAGCCTGCCCCGTGTGTTTGACAGTTGAACAGATGTTCATCAGCACTGAAAGTAACTGTATGGCACCCGTTAGAGCTGTTCTGCAGAACAGGGGAGGGATCAGCAGGGGAATATCCTTTTCCAAAAAGCACAAATCAGCTACAACCTTTTATAAGAAGAAGGAAAAAACAGATATTCCCTGTGCATAGCCAGAAAAACAGAAGAAAAGCAAGATTTAAAAAAGAGTAGGTTTCAAAGACAGGCTTCTGCTATGTTTACAGAGAATACAACAGTGTTCTCAGATCAGTGTTAAAGCTGCCTGCAAATCCAAAAGCATTTAAAAATTGCCTACCTAATACTTGCCAGTAAGAAGAAGGTTGTACATGGGACCTCAAACAATCCAATTAAAGCTGCAGTTAGGGTCTTCCTCAGCAGAGATGCAGGGACAGATATCCAGGGATCAGCAAACCGAAAAGCATTGATGAATTTATGAGATGAAAGCTGCCACAATGCCCTGCTGCTGCTGCAGCATCCTGGTTGGAAGAGCAGTGTATTGATTTGATTTTCCTCACATATGAGGAGGGTCAAAGCAGGGGCGTTGCTAAGAGCCATTAAAGAGGCCTGCCTACTCAGTCACAGCCCGGGGATCCTGTTTATCTTGCCCATCTGCAGTCTGTTTTCATGCATGTTTCCTCAGCCTTGCACTGTTCATTCTGCAGGCTTGGTTTTACTCCACCTAGCCTGCCTCAACCCAAACTGCACAAACATTCTAGTATCAGATAATTCGAAATACAAATAGAGGGACTTCACACTGTTAAACAAAGTTAACAGAAATAACGACACATCACATTTATTTTTAATAACAAGACAGAAGCAAAATCTTCTCCCTGTTCTGCATCACAATACTAACAGGCTTAGAGTGAGAAAAAGAATTTCTCCTCTTCCCTGTTTTGATGCTGATAAGAAGTTTCAACAAGGGGACAATCCAATGAAAACTCAAGGAAGAGAAGGCAGGTAGTAGAATATTATTGCCACTCTATTATTATTATATGTTAGGCTACCAAATAGTGCAATAGCATCCTGAGAAAACAACTCAAACCACTAAAAAATAAAGGGGAATTCACCAAAAACTAGCAAACCTACTGTAGGTTTGGCACAAGGCACAAGGATTGCATTTTCTATTGGTATGAGTCAGCATACCTCCAGTGATAGCAAGGGAGATACACCCATATAAGGTAGTTTAAATTTTGATTATACCACTGCAGTGGTGGGAGGAGAGAGAAGTAAAGCTAAGACAAGAGACTTTTCTTCTTGTCTGATTTGTCCTTTATTGAATAGAGTCATTTTCTCCTCTCCGAGTTTCACCAGACTTCATCAAATGTCTTTCATCCATGCTGTGCTACCCACCCTGCTATGAATTAGTGTTCAGCTGGATATGAAAGGAGGTTAGTAAACCTGAGGTGGATTCACAATCAGCTTTGCCAGCAAAAGTCCTTCCACTGCATTTAAAAAGAAAAAAAGAGGGGGAGAGTAATACAGCTCTTTGTATATCTGTCTCATAATGGTCTCTTCATCCATTACTTACTCATTTTAAGACAATGAATTCTCAGATTTATACTGTTTGGGATGCTGCTGGGCTTGAGCAGACTCAAGAAATGAAAAATTTAATAGATGACCTAATTCATTGTTGTCCTCCACAGACATTTCATTTAGTGCTTTCTCTTCTCTGCACTGGTAGTTTTAAAATCCCATGAAATATTTGATTACATAACTCAGAGTACACTATGTGACAGGGCCACCACTTGAGCACTTTCCACCCCAGAGAACATGCTGCTGAAGACACAGCAAATGCACAGGAACCAGGACTGCAAACCCAGGCTGGAGATGAGAGAAAGAATAAACTGCAGCTGCAATAGTAAAAGGCAGTACACTAGTTTGACAGCCTTTCCATTCAAGCAACTGTTAAGGGCCAGGCTTTACACTCTTTGCCCAGTTCCACAAAGAATAAGAAACTTCATTTTGTACTTTCAGATCAGTTTGCACTCTTCTGTTCAGAAGGAAGCTACCAGGGTTGCTCTGCTGTTTCTGGTCATACCAGGGTGTTCGGTGCTCATTGGTAGTGTGGTTTCATGAATGCCGTCTACTTTAGCATCAGCCTCCGATCCCGTTTTCTATCTTAGGGGTAATTTTACTCTCCTAAACTGCAGAGGAGAGGTCTCCCTCTTTGCAGATGTTGGTTATATGACCTGTTCTCAAGGGACAGTTCCATACTGAGAGAGCTGAAAAGCAAGCTTTTCATCCATCAATATACATTTTTAATAAGGCTTGAAAACCAGGGAAGCTGCAGATGACTGGAAAAATGCCAGTCCCCTCCCCCTAGTATTTCCAAAGTACAAGTAATCAAATCATAAGCCTGCTTCTGTGCCATCAATCGTGGGAAGAACAACAGAATTAATTTATTTTAAAGTGATAGTGTTGATGCAATTTACTAAAAGCTCTGTACTACATTAGAATTGGCTACCGTATGATGCCTTAAGTAGGAAACTAAACTGATTCTGAAACAATATCACACATGAAAGACACTAAAGCTGGCTAACTAGTAGGTTCTGTAATATAATTGTAACATGTAACATTTTATGTAACGTAAAAATAATTGTGTAAATTTTTATTCATTTTGTTCAAGAATGTGTTTCCAAGCCTGAAATATTCAGCATGGTATTAGAAGTCACAAAAAAGCCCAAACTCCTAAGGAGATCTCAGCTCACGCAAGTGTGATGAGTAAACAACAAAGATAAAGAAAACTCCTTGAAAGCAGTCTACCTGGAAGCAGGCAAAAATGTGTCTCATTGCAGTAGAAGTCTAGCCACCATCAGAAAAGTGCTTTTCAGAACTTAGCACTCTGTCCTATGTAAAAGTAGATGTTAACCAAAAATGCAGAGGTTGCTGGAAGATAAGCAGGTGGGCACAGGTGCTGGGTAAGACACTGTGACTGAAAAACCTGGCTGCATAAAACGTAGGAGGTGCAACAGCAAAGGAAATATCAAATCCATTTCTGATAACCATTCTCTGGAAAAAGTGGTGAAAATGAAATAAATTCAAATAGACTCTTCAGTAACCAAGGGATTGAAACTTAGAGTCTTTAGAGTAGTAACTTCAGAAGGATTATCTGTTTAGCTCACCAAAACCAGAAGTTAAGAAATGGCAAGCACATATGGCTACAAAGCAAAGAAGAACAGAAGAAAGTGGAGTTCCTTTGGTTGAACATGGGCATATTAAGACCTGATGGTTGGAAAGACATGTGGAAGAAAAGGGCAGGTTTTCAGCAGCAAAGCTGCTACCATTAGAAGTCTTCACCTACTGCTTCGGATGAACTTTATCCTCTTGTTTTTCTTGGTAAGACAAGATTGGAGCTTGTGACTAAAAATTGAGATGAAGCTTGAATACTTGAAGTAGGATTTTATGCCTGTAAGAGCAATGGCTCATCTTATGCTTTTGGATAATCACAGTATTACCCTATAAATTTAAAAATCTTTGCAAATCTATAAACAAATGCCGCCACCAACAAAAAAAACCAACATTAATTAGCTCACTAGCCTCGTTTAGTTGCAGGGTAACTCTATAGCTTTGTTGAATCTTCCAACTGGAACACAGAGGTAGTAAAACTACCAGGGTAAGTAAAACACACAGTAAGTAAAATTTACCCTGCTACAGGACAATCCTCAACCTTTGCTACATTCGCTGTTTGGCAATTCATTCCTTAGAAGGACCTATCCCAAAACACTGTCTCTCAAAGTATGCTGGGTCAATTCCCATCAGACAAAGCTAGCCAGCAATTAGATAGCAGGGAAGTCCAGGCTCTGTTTCCCAGGTCTACCACTGTTCAATAATGGTCCTTCCATGACTAAGTTTAAAGAAAAACAAACAAGCAAACTTTTTCCAAATTTTCCAAAGTTGTAGAACAGTTTAATCTACCTCCCTTCACAAGGAAACTTCTGAACAGCTGTTGAAAGATATTCCCTGCATATACATACACATCTGCTGTGATGTCCTGTTTTCTAGATTAGCAAGTTCAGGGCCTTTTTCAGGGAGCTTCAAGGCCAGGTAAGTGCTCTGCAGACCCCTGGCTTTATTCGTGGTCCTGCTCTGTCATAAGATACCTGGAGGTGTTCTACACAAGAAAGCTATTGGAACACTGCCATCTTTTTAACTGTGCAAATCAGGTGGCAGAAAAATATAATTTTAAAAATTATAACTTCCTCATTAATTTGAAATCTAAACTTTAGAGATCTTTAAAGACAAAAAGTGCTAACTCAAGCAATTATCTTCTTTCCGACCTGTAGAAGAGTTTATCTGCCAGCTCTGAAGCTGTTAAATTGTAAAGAAGTACAAGGTCTAAACACCTCCAGTTTGGGATTCAAAGTCAAGTAATTCAGGAAGCAAGAATCTTCCTGTTTCTGGGATAGAACAGAACTCACTGACACTCTGGTCTGCAGAACAAAGCACCTCCTAAGGCTGCCATGACCAGAAGCATTTCTGGAATTTCTAAGTCATCGACTACCTTCCAGACAACTTCTCAGAAACAGCTATCACTTACCACTGGAAGCCAAGTCATGTGGATATAATTGCTAACATTCCCGATAATCAAAATTACCTTGGAGGTAAGCTCTGTATGTTAATCCCCCAGATTTTTTAAGTCTCATGCTGGATTAATAGACTCCTTTAAAGGAAATCAATGCATTTCATTGTACCAATTTTTTTATCTGTCCCCTAGGAAAAACAGTACCTCTGAGAACTACCTTGGTTCAAGAATTACACATTGCAATACGCATTTACCAGAATAAGAGAAAAGAAGCAATAGTGTTATTTCACTGAAACATAGGTCAAAACAGACAGTGAGATTTACGAGCAAACAAACAAACAAGATTAAATTCCCTAACTAAATAAATACTTCATGTGATGAGGGATTTATCTTTGCTGTCAGGGACTTTTTCAAGGATTACTGTCCTAAGGACTAGCGTGCTCTGGCACACTTTCTGTCAGCCAACTATATTAAATGCAGGAGCAAAGTAGAGGATTCTTGTAGGCCCAGACCTGATCCCAGGCAGCCCACATCCTTCAGGATTGCTTTTCCAGAACCAAAGGCTGGCATGCCATTTATACCACTTCAAACTTTAAGTGTGCTACTGTTCAGCATACAGATAGGAGCATATGCTTCCACTATGACAGGCAGTAGTGACCTTCTCATATTGCTACGTGGGAGGCAAGAAAGCAACATGGTGCAGGTCAGAAGGCCCCAAAAGAGCACATCCATTCACATGCTACCCTAAAAGCATTTTTAATTTGTATTTCAGTTTCAGAACCAAGTGACTGGAAGTTTTAACAGCTGTCATTTCCTTTTAATTACAAATATAAAACAGAATTAGCCAAAGCTCCTTGACAAACACAAATCAAGACACTCTAGGAGGCTGGGAATGTGTCTGTTCCTCACTTGTGAGCAGATCAAAAGCTACAATTACTGTGTCATATGGAGAATGCCCATTTCTCTCTAATAGAACAGAAGCATTGGACCATATAACATACATATTCAGGACTTGACAAAGAAATAACAAGGTCAAGCCTGCAACTAGACTGCAGGAGATCCTGTAATTTAGATTTATACTTAATATTGACAAGGTTGTAACTAACATTCTTCTGTTCCAGGCAAATGCACCTTGAAGAGAGATGAGGTTATACAGTCACAAAG